CACACAGGTTGGAGAAATTGAGGTTGGCGTTGAATGAAACAGTACCATATTTAACAAGCATCAATGTGTCATATGTCTTTGCAGATAATAATTATGGAAATCTATGAATGGCTTTTAATTTGTGGATGGAAAACAAGAAAAATCTAGATAAAATAAAAGTAAGCGGTTGTACAGTGTTGCATCATTTTGATGATTTACACTTCCAGAGAGATATTTTAGATATAGCTAGTATATGCTCCAGTGAGTGCCTGCCTGGTTAATGAGAAAAGCCCTGGGTTGGCGCAGGGGTGGGGTGCGGATCAGGAGACCTGAATTCTAGAGTCTAGATTGAGCCAGTATGTAGCTTGTTGACTTAGGCAAAATTTGCATGGATAATTAAATGACTGGCCCTATTCTTCACCTCATCCTCAATCCACACTCTTGGAAGGGCCTCACTGCGGACAGAGAGTATTTCCCTGCCCCTTGACTTTGCGGTTTGCTATGTGACTCTGACCAATGATGTGCGGATGCAAATAAGTGTTTCAGTTCCAAGTGTAGGCCTTAAAGGTCTTCTGCACATTACTTGCTCTCTTGTGCCTCCACCATCGCCATAAGTACAGCCTATTCTAGTTGGCCCACTGGTTGCAGGAAGATGAGAGTCATTTGGAGCAAACCCAAGACCCCAAAAGGTGAAACAGAATTGCCACACAAACCTAGATCGGCCAAAACCCAAATCAGCAAATACCCAGAGATGCGTTAGCTAAATACATGCTTATTGTAAGCTGCTAAGATTCTGCAGTTGTTTGTTATGCAGCTATAGCTGACTGACATATCTTGTTGTCTTTCTAGGCTTCAGATGCCCATCCATAAATTGAATAAGTTTACTATATAACTTCAGATCTCTTCTAGCTTTAACTCTTTTTTCCTAAAGCAAACTTTTCTTCATTTCTATGTGGCCGAATATTTTTCTTTATCTTTTCTCGTACTTCTAAAGCACACTGCTGCACCTGTGAGTCGATATGTCAGTTCTGTATTTAATGACACTCACTGGGCAATAGAAAAGTCTTTAAAACCATAGCTAAAGAGCCACATGAAAAGTGCAGAGATAGAGGCTCAGATAAACAGTATACATTTAATTTTTGACCTTCAAAGTAGAAGTTTCAGAAAGAGCCCCTTGTTTCTTTAATGACTGAAAACGAGTATGTCTCCTGGGCAGATGGGTATGAGCATCTCCTAGACTCCTGAGAAGCATTTCTATTTTTGGCTTACAGAATTTCAGCCAAAAGGGTTCAATCAAGCTTTATCTTTGGAGACCAGCTATCATCAGACTCCTCTCTGGTAAGGTATCTCTAAGGTCATTTTAAAAACTGTTTTTATTTTTATTTTTTAAAGATTTTTATTAAAATATAGCTAACATACAATGTTGCATTAGTTTCAGATGTATACCATACTTATCAACATTTATATACCTAAAGAAGTGATCGCCATGATATGTCCAGCAACCATCTGACACTGTACAAAGCTATCACCATATTATTGGCTATATTCCCTGTGCTGTAGACTACATCCCATGACTTTCTTGCTTTATACCTGGAAGTTTGAATCTCTTATTCTGCTGTACCTTCCTCTCCCTTTTTTGATTTTTCCATTACAGTTGATATTCAATACTTATAGTCATTTCTATAATAACTTCTTGACTATGTCATATAATTTCTTTACATAGCAAAATAATAGTATTCAACCTCTTTAAATATGGAAAGTTAACTTTCTTTATTTAACTTTTTTTTTTTCTTTTCTTTCCTGCATTCGAGGAAATTACAAAAACCTATTTCACTATCAGCGCTGAAACTACAGGTGGAATGCAAATATAGAGCTGAGCTCTCCAGGCTACATATTTGGGTCATTAAACTCTATTGAGAAAGAAAACAGGAGACAGACAAGAGAGAAGGGTGTGTGTGTGTGTGTGTGTGTGTTTGTGTGTGTGTGTGTGTATGTGTGTGTGTCTGTAGATAAACAGGGTACAGGGCTGAACTCTGGAAGGACTAGGGGTAGCACAAGATATAAAGTGTGGTAGACTGAAAAATGTGCCCCCTCCTAAATATATCACGTCCTAATCTCTGGAACGTTAAATATTACCTTATATTAAAACCAGATCATTATATATAGGCATTATATAATGGAATTTCACTTTCAAGAATAATGACCATGTAATTCCCATGTTCAACACAAAATTTCATGAAACCTGAAAAGAAGATCTTTGCAGATGTAATTAACTTAAGAATCTTGAGATGGAGAGATTATCTGCAATTATCAAGGGCACTAAAAGACAGTCATATGTATCCTTATAGGAGGGAGGTAGAGAGGAATTTGAGAGACGAAAGAGGGGAAGACGGTGTGGACACAGAGGCAGAGATCGGAGTGATATGGTCACAAATCAAGAAAGCCAGCAGCCACCCGAAGCTGAGAGAGGCAAGGAAGAGAGCGAGGCCAGCCCCGCCGACACCTTGATTTCAGCTCAGTGACACTGTCAAGATCCTTAAGTCAATCACATCTGCAATGGTTTCCCCTCACTTTAGGTTCCCCAATCTCTAGAAATTATTTTATTCTTACCCTCCAAATACTTGATAAAGCTTCTTGTATAGAAAAGAGAAAATAATTCTATATATAATTATATATA